TTTCTGCCTTGCTAAGGAGTCAATTGCTTGCTCGACTTCCCCCATAGTTATATCTCCTTCGAGCCATATCTTTACACCTTCGTCTAGTTGAGGCATTAGCGATAAAAAATCATTTAGTTTGGAAAAGCCTTTAGGCGTGGGCCTTTTCCAAAAAGATGCTCATAATATTCAACAAAAGCACTCTCAATCACATGTTTATCACTGCTTGTTGCGCCCTTATAGTCTATTTCAAAAATTTCTTTGGTCAAAGCATACCTTTTTTCGTCAGCCAAAGCTCGCTTGGTAGGCTGCTCCCCCAAAAGAAACTTTTCTGACCGGGAGCGTACAACCGCCCCGCTATTCCTGTCCTGATAGATCTTGTTTAGTTCCGTCTTGATATACTGTATATCCTCAAAGCAAGTACCTGGGTTTTCACTCTCTACTTTATAGAAGTATTTCAGATCCTTTTGCAGTTGTGTTTCGCGGGCTCGAAGCTGAAACTGAATGTTGCTTGATCTTTCAATCGCGGCCAATTTAACCTCCTCCTTGAAGACCTCCCATGCTTCACTTCGACCGTTTTCTTTTTCATGCAGACTACTTAGAAGCTCGGTTACGGTGGCAACAAACTGTTCATCTTTTAGCAATATTCTGTTCATTTTCCAGAGCCTCCAATTGAACCTCGAATTTGTCTTTTCCTTCTTTCCAATTTTAATAGTTACAAGACAGTGATCAGTGAAAAAAACTGGTTGCACACGGTAGCCATGTGCTTGCTGTATAATGTCGACTGATACATAGATGCGATCTAATCGAGAATATGACGAAGCTTGAAAGTGTGTATATCGCAAATCATTCCTTGCCGCTTGCAAGGCGCCTACATCTTCGAGACCACACATGTCAGTAATATCTTTCAAAATGCTTACACTGCTATAACTATATCTCGTCCGCGAGGATGTATCGCGTTCGTCGCAAACGCAGTTGAAATCGCCTAATACAACCAGAACTTTATCGCATTCCACGTAACTGCGCAAGAATTGGAAAAACTGCTCTCTTTGTCGTACGTTGTTCGGAGCCTATACACAAATCACACGCCACTGTATGCCCGACAACGTGAGGTCACAAGAAATGAAACGACCCTGCTCATCAGACACCACCTGCAAATGTTCAAGGTTTACAAACTTCTTGAGAAAAAGAAAACATCCAGCCGAGAATCCCACGGCACGACTCACACACGCTTCATAGCGAAAAAGAAAAGGCCTCAAAGCGCTAGCAATGTCATTGTCTGCAGCCATTTTTTGTCTCTTGTATTGCGAGGAAATCTGGCTGCTCATCACATAGCAGACGTTGCAATTGGTACTGCTTCTTTGTCGAGTTCAACCCCCGAACGTTGAAGGTGGCGAAACTGATAGCCATTTTTATTTCATAGCAATACGGACCGCATTATTACCGGTAACCAATATTATACACCACAAAGATTACACCTGCAAAACTGAAAATCCTCAACTGGCTTACTTGCTTGCCTTCATAGACACGACACAGGAGTTGCAGCCGCCTACAGTTCACCGTCCCTCCTTCGGCGCTTGATCGTCCGTCGGCGTTCATGACAGTGCCCGGTATCGGCCCCTCTTGGCCATCACCGCCTGCCACCGTTCATGCATTCTCCATTGAAGCGTCGTCAGTTGTCCGTCGCCCTCGGTTGGCCGCTGCTCCAGAGGTCTTTTGGAAGAGCCTTCCAGGGCTTCCATGGCGTCGGCCGAGTCATGCTGATCGTCTTCTTTGGATGCCTCGGATGTTGGGGGGGGGGGGGGGGGCAGGGGGCGTCTTGGTCCCCTTGCTAAGGTTCCTGAGACGGCAGCCGACCAGCTGACTCATCGCCTGATGGGCCAGCAGCGTCAACCTCGGTAGTTGGCGGCTTTGCCGCGGACGGCGTCGCAGGGAGGGGGGTAGGGGCGTCTGCGGTGGTGTTGGCCCGTCCCTGGGATTCGAGATTCCCGGGGGTTCTACCCGCAGCCTCTTCGGCCTCCGCCTGGTCCATCAGAAGGTCGGCCTTTTCGTCGTCCATCGCGGCATTCACCACGTCAGCGTATGTCTTCATGCACTCCTGTCTGGTGTGCCCGTAGCGTCGGCAGCCTTCGCACCGGGGAACACGACACTCCTTACGAATATGGCCGGTCCTTCGGCACCGCAAACAAAGCGGTGCCCTCCCTGGGGCGATGACCAGCGCACTGCATCCAGACAATCGGAGTTGATGCGGTAGCTGTTCGGTGGTGACGCCGTCCTTTAGCGTTAACCTCACCGCCCTCGTGGTCGACTGCACCCCTTCAAACACGCCAGGTCTCTCTTACTATCTCTTCGACCTTGCCATACTGCTCCAGGGCTTTCTTCACGTTGTCATCGAGTATATAAAAGGGTATCCAGTGCAACTTGAGCCGCACTTCCGCCTTGTCCGGATCGATAACAAGGCACCGCCTGCCCTTGACCTCGAAAGCCTGAGCATCCACCAACCTTTGTTTGGCCGTGGGTGACTTGAGGGTGACCATCCACACGGGGTTCATTTGGTACGAACCACATGCTGCGATGTCTCCTAGGACTCCGGCATGCTCCAGTCCGTCCTTGAAGTCCTCGATACGGTAGGGCCGTGCGCCGATGTCGGCATGAAGAAAAACGGAGTTCAGGGCATATACGCCTGTCGGCAGCGTAGGCAGGATGATACGATAAGCGGCCTCGTCCCTTCGTTCAGCAGTGATACAACGGATATCAGTAGCCGTTAAAACTGCTCTTACGGAGCTCATGACGATGCGTCCTTCCACTTCGGAAGCTGAAAGACGAATCTCCTATGCTATGCCACCGCTTAGGAAACTCGATTTGACCATTCGTTTTATACGAGATGCTTCGGCTGAAAATGCAGTTAAGCCTTCAGCATGTTATGCAAAGCACTGGTACATCACTCGCCGTACTTCAGTTCTACTCACTTGCCATGTAGAGTACTTTCGCGTCGTAGAACGATCCTTTTGTTCGCGCGTCTCCGGCCCAGTAGACCTGGGGACCTATGTTGGACTTTCGAGAAACTAGAAACAGAAGTGACGTAGCGGCAGCAGGAGCGTAACCAAGCAACGGCGCGCACCGCGAAACCGCCCTCTTTGACGCCGTGACGACATGGCAAGATTGGCGTCTGTCACTCACTTGAGAGGCGTCAAGAGCCAACCGCCGAAGAGCGGAAGTAGCTACGCTGTCCCCCTGCCGTACCTACGCTTTCCCGGCGGTACCTATCTGGAGCCTTGTCCCTACGCAAGCGTCCGTTTCTCCGGCAACCGGAAAGGCATTTTCTGCTTTTAGCCAAGCGATGGCAGCCAATCCCTTACGGCGGCGACCTTCACATCGGCTCTTTTTTAAAGAAACTTGTCAGACTAAAAAAATACACGGGTTCTATTGAAATGAACAACTGATTTTGTAGCGGTTCCAAAAAATATTAGATGAAGTAAACTCGCATAAAAGGTTAGAAGAACATGCGGGATGCAAATGAGCGCCTAGTTCAAATCACTGTCACTGATGACGGCTCAAGAAACGGGAGGATGTGGCCTGTCATGCTCGCTCTTCTTGCGTCGTGATTGGTTCCTCGGCGTTCTCATCGGCTAATGCGGCTATCTCATTGGCTGCGGAGCGATAATAAAAGGTTCCAGTCTTGCAGTACCCTGCGTTTCTTAAATTGTCAGTGACTATGGTTCAAACAACATGGACGACGAGAGCAGGCAACGTGTGTCCGCGGCCCAGAGGGAGGAACTCGATACATTTATGTTCGAGAACCCCTCTCTGGTACGCGGTGCAACTGAGCTCAGCCCGGCCCTGTCCAGAGACGACAAAGTTCGTCTCTGGACCGAGCTAACCTCCCGGCTCAACTACCTCGGGCCTCCGAGGAAGGAGCCGGAAGCTTGGAAACGTTATTGGGCCGTGCGGGTGTCGAAGGCGCGGACGCGGGCAGCCGAGCTGGCGAAACAGGCGAGGTAATTTGCGTCGTCTACTCATAGTGTGGACCAAGCTATTGAATTACTTCCTTTACTCGCAGGCAAACTGGGGGAGGAGGCGGCCGGGTGCGCTCACTGGCGTCATCATACGCACGTATTTTGACGCTGGTGGGCGAGGACTCGGCCCTGGGCGCTCCTGGGTTTTCCGTCCCCGCTTTTGAGGACGAGGCCGAGGTGAGTGCACGCTTGAACCTAACATACTATTGCACATGTAGCTGTTCAATCCCAATGGAGAATATCCGTGCAGGGTTTTCTTATCAGTGAGCTAAGATGTATACCGCAGTGAAATGTGATAAATATGAATGCAGGGGCGGATGCAGAAATTTCCTGAGGGGGGGGGGGGGGGGGGTCAGGTGTTGGTCAGCGTAACATATGTTTAGGAACCCCCTCCCCCTCTCCCTTGTTTAATGCCCTAAATTTTACACATGCAGAAATCAAGAGGGGGGTCAGGACATCCGACCCCCCCTCTAAATCCGCCCCTGTGAATGTGAATATATGCATTAAAGGTTCTGGCACTTTTTATAATTCAGCGAATCGGAGGGCGGATTAATTCATCCACGTAAAGGCAAAATCTAAAACAAAAGCACTTACGACAAAAAACACTATATTTATTGCAGTAATACTGGAGTTTCTAAGGCCAAAACATCTGTAGTTTTTGTGTAGTCCTTTTTCTTCTTGCTTTTGTGGTTGTTGGAACCCTCAGTTGTATTGTGTGTACGCTGTCGTAAGATTCAATTTCTGTATCACAGAGGTACATTTTCACAAAAACAGGGGAAGTGCAACCTTTTGAGCTGCCACTAGACATATTTGGGGAGTCAATCCTAGACATGAATGGCACTACCTCTGAAACAGTGTAATTTTGTTTCCCCTGAGTGGAATGCAGCCTCAACAAACCCACCCTCAATATCTAGAAAATGCAGACAAGTCCTGTGTGCTGACTAGGACTTACAAATTCCCTTCTAGGGGAGACCCACAGGCGCCCAGGCAGGTCATGGGCAGCATGCAGCCGAGCCGGTGCCCTCCACCTCGCGGGGTGAGACCTCTCATGAAGACAACTAGGATTGTCTGATATGACAGAAGCATTCTTTGTTTCCTGGCAGATGTCAGGCCACCTGCAAGGCCCCGGGTGCGGCCCACGGCGCCTCGTGCCACCCCCCGAATGTCGAGGCAGGAGCGGCACGACGAGGCTGCCATGCAGGCAGTCGCCAACCAGACTCGGCAGGTGCAGCAGAACGAGACGAGGGACGCGCGGGACGTGGAGTTCCAAGGCCAGGTATTGGCTCAAACATAGAACTCCGTAACATGACTAAATAGGTATGAGTTTAATAAAGATGCCACTGTGAAAGTGGGACTGCAGCAGAGGGCAATGGAGATCTACAAAAGCATAATGCAAACCGAACTGTGACATATGCAAGGTTTTCACGCCCTCTGGGTGTCTAGAAATATGTTGTTGCTGCGCATTAAATGCCCCGTCTTTCCAGCTCCTGCGTTCAATCGATACCCTCAGCCACCACATGGAGGCTGTTGCGGAGTCGAACCAGGAGCAAGCTCGCGCCACACAAGCGGTGGCCCTGGAACTCCAAAACACGACCCGCGTGCTCGTCGAGGTCGTTCTGCTGCTGACTGCCGAGAGAAGTCGAGCCCTGCGAAGCCAAGACCTGCCGAGCCCTGCCCAGCCACCCCTCCAGCCCAGCCAAGTCCAGCCCCGCCCCGCCGAGCCCCGCCCCGCTGAGCCCCGCCCCGCCGAGCCCAGCCCCGCCGAGCCCAGCCCCGCCGAGCCCAGCCCCGCCGAGCCCAGCCCCACCGAGCCCAGCCCCACCGGGCCCAGCCGAGACCAGCACCGCTGAGTCCAGCCACACATAATTTAGTTTTATGGATGATTATTTTATGTTCCAAGTTGGTATTCATTTTTTCGTTTTTTGTTTTGTTCTCCAGGCGGAGACAAGAAATATGTTCTTTTGTGCCACTGGTATGTGGTGCGTGTTAATGGACAAGTTCCTACGCACACTGGGCTCGCCATACAGTGAATAATACTATGAGTGAGCCACTGCTTAAAGGAAGGCTGATGTTCTGCTGTCTAAACATCTTTACAACAATGTTGACATTACGGGAAAGTCCGTCCATGCTTTTCAGTTCATATTTTGTTTACAAAGAACTGTGCCTTCTGTATTTGTTTATTGGAGTCACTATAACCAGTGAAGCAAGTTAGTAATATGCTCTTGGCAACAGGCATGACAGATATATGCTAAAACTAACCATTCCTCATGTTTGTAGGACAGCAATATGTAGTGTGTGCTTTTTCATCAAAGGTGCCAAGTGGCTTGTGCCATAGGAATTTTATACTTGTAGTTTTCTTCCGCCTGAAACTAGCCTCTGGGTTTGCGATTTTTCTTATATCGCAATAAAGTGGAGATTTGGGCCGGTTGGTTCATGGCAAACAAAAAAGCGCTGAAAAAAACAGGGATGAGAGTGCGCCTTGTCCTGTTTCCCTTCGTCTGTGTCCCTGTTTTTTGTTTGTTTGTTTTCTTATATCATTGTTGATCTCAACATGCCTCAGCTATGGAATCTGTCATGCTTCCATGTGTGACAAAACACAAACGAAATGATAGTGTGGTGAATTAAGTCAAGTGTGAAATAATGTCTGTGATATATCCTTGATAATGAGAAAGAATTTATACGGTGTTTCTAGTCCATGCTCAATTTCACTTTTAAAAAAGCATTGCAACCTGTGTTTTCAAATGTGTGACAAAACACAAACGAAATGGCACTGTGCTGAATTAAGTGAAGTGTGAAATAATGTCTGTGATATATCCTTGATAATGACAAAGAATGTATACGGTGTTTACTAGTCCATGCTCAATTTTACTTTAAAGAAAGCATTGCAACCTGTGTTTTCAAACATGTTTATTTTTCACGTTACGGCATTGTTATAAAAAAAAAGAAAGCACTTTCAAAAACAAACTACTTGTTGTCTTCTTTATACATTCAAGTTGGCACGAATCTAATCTGCGATTATCGAGTAATACACCTGGCTCTGTGGTAGCCATGATAGATTGTAAAATGGAGCAGGGCAATAGAAGTGTAGAGAAAATGAGTCGATGTCCAAACCCGATACAAACAATATATTGTAAAAAAAAAAAAGAAAATAGGTCTCACCAGTAGCCTCATTGAGTTCTCAGTCTCTTGCAAAGGCTAGCTTCATAACCCTACAAAATGTTCTGCTATTGTCCAAAAAATGTGTGCACCCTGCTTACAAATGAAAAAAAAAAAGGCTCTATCAACATAACTGTGATGCACCGAAAAGCTTTTCGGAGGCAGTACTAAATGTCCGTAAAGGTAGCATGGTGGTTGTGCGACGAACTGCAAGGCGGAGTTGACACTGTGGAGCTTATGGACGGCCATGACTGTGGAACAACAAGTGCAGTACATACTGCCACGGGGAGGGCTTCTCTGGTGGCGAGGGCGTCAGTTGAGGCGAGGACGACGAAGGGTTCGCTGTCGCCGGTGGCGTCCCTGGTGTGCGGGAGTACCACCGTGGCGAGGACGATGAGGGGCTCCCTGCCGCCGACGGTGTCCCTGATGGGCAGGACTTCCGTTGTGGCGACGGACTCCTTGGCGCTGGTGGTGTCCCTGGTGGGCGGGACTGCCACCGTGGCTTGCGTGGGGCTCCGGAGCGGCACGGCTGTGGCAGGTTTGGAACTGGGCAACAAGGCACTGCCTCAGAGCCCTCCCCCTGTCCGAGAGGCTGACCCGAGGGTGGGCAGGAGCCGGCCTCTCGTCATCCGCCGCTGACCCCTCCGAGCTCGACTCAGAACCGTCCGAGCTCGGCCCAGACTCCAACCCTGGCTCGTCAGGGTCAGAGTCTGGCTCCGGTTCTGGCTCATTCGATGAAAGGCAGATATTGTGGAGCACTGCACACGCCGATATAATGACGGTGGCTGTTGTGGGATGATAAAACAGAGCCCGGTGCCCTTGCAGACACCGGAATCTGCTCTTCAACAGCCCAATGCAGCGCTCCACAACGGACCTCATCGAAGAATGTGCCTTATTAAACCGGCCGCATGCGGTGGAGGTCGCGTGGAATCCAGGGACAGGGGTGATGAGCCAAGGCTCCAAGGCATAGCCGCTGTCATCTGCACATTCAGAGAAGGAAATGTATGATATTAATGCTGTTCTCTTTAATAGAATACTTCAACGAAATTTGAAATGTACCCGTCATGTTCAGAAATAGGCTGAACATGATCCACAATACCCGTAAATGACAAGCATACATTTCTCTTTTGAGCCTTATGGCTATATTTTTCATTATAAACAGGCCAGACTGGCAAGCGCTCGGAGAGCAGCCACCAGAGAGCACGTCACATCCGGTGCAATTGTGATGTAGTTTCTCTTGGGATGAGCAAAGCTGCGGCGAGGCAGACATCGTCAGGATGCCCTAGCTGTTCAAGCAACAAAAGCGGTCGAAGCATGCCAGCGATCAGGCCACCGCAACAAACCCCAAAGCTGCTTTTGTGTAATTTTGAGTGACACATTAATATTCTATAATCTTGGTACACACAAAAGAGAGTCCCGTTGAGTGTGGAGTTGCTCCCTCCCCTTGTCTGTTCTGCTGGCCGTTGAGCTGTCAAGATGACGTCAGGTTCAAAGCATGTATGGTTCTAAGCGAGACAGTTATCGGTCACTACCTGTCAAGGTTCCTAGACATCTAGAAGGTGCTCTTTCCTAATCGCCTAATTTTTTTTAATGCCTTTTTGTCTCTTTTTTAACAAGATATTGGCGTGTCCGATGTGATACTGCTCTTCTGAACACGTATAGACCAAAGAATAAGCACCGAAATTTTGTTGTAGTATCCCTTTAAAATTGTTGACAACTAAGCAAAGAAAGGCGCATGTTTGCAACCTTTCCCCCAGTACTTGACAGCTGCGTCAGAGTGTTTCCAAGGAGACGTGTCACAGGTATGGCCAGAGCGCAGGCCAGTTATCTATGTTCGCAACAGTATGTGTGATATTGTAGCTTATAAGTGGTGCAGAGCCATCATGTACAGTACCAACAACTGGAGTATGCTTACCGAGCAGAAACCTGCCATCGTCTACCAGCCGGCCTTGCTCGAAGTTGCTCCGGAGCCACGAGTAGCGCCACACGAAGGAGTCGTGCACCGACCCAGGATACCGTGGGTCGATGCTCATGACCCGGCAGTCGGCGTCACACACCCGCAATAGAGAGACATGTGTCGACATTATTTCAACTGAATCCACAAACAGTTCATTGCACTCATAGTCATGGGGCCCTGTCAAACACGATTTACATGCTGACCAACACACCACCATAAATTACGTGGTTTACAAACTTAAAACATTAAAACAACGCAAAAAACGACGGACTGGATGAAGGAGGATATAGACAGAGCGCTGAGCGCAAAAAAACAAAAAGAAACAACAAAAACAACGACGGACTGCATGAAGAAGGACACAGACAGAGCGCTGTCTGTGTTACAAAGATTAAAATTATATGATAAATAGCCACTACCTTTGATCCACGCAATAGTTTAGGCAAATTTGCTTTTTTCTTCAAAGGAGAGTTTACACTTTATCATGCAGGACACGAACTATTGCTTAAAAGCTTAACACGACATGAAAACAACCCTCCCTCCGTCCGTCGAACAAAAGCTTGTGCGGAGGATGAACGAGCACTAACAACCCATAACTTTAATTTATAAAATGGCATATCCACACCGCATTAGCGTTACGCTCTTTTTCAAACCCATTCAGAACGGGCATTGACCTATAGCTAAAAGCGCGAGCTAGCTGCTTTGGATAAAGCCCCGGCGGCTGCACGAGCGCTCGTGCAGCGAGTGCTCCAGTCAGGCCGTTCGCGCTCGCACAGTCTTCTTAGTTAGTTCATGCTAAAGTGAGACGTAGTATATATGTGATCGTACTTACCACCATCACGTTGAGAGTGTAGTATTGCTTGCGGCACCAATACGCCGCCTTCGTGACGGTGGGGTCGTTCTCTGACGGGGCGACGATGGCAATCATCGTCCCGTCGACGCAACCGATGACGCCGGGTATCCTGCCGAGCCGTTGGAAGCCCCTCTCGACGTCGTCGCTCTCGCCGGTTGTCTGGGGAAAGTCGATCCAGCCGCGCCGGATCCCCAGACACTGCACAATAGCGAGGGACACAGCCCGCACAACGATGCTGACTGTAGACTGATCCCTCGCTATGTGCTCGTCGCTCGCCACCATGCCCTGAAAACTCCCCGTGGCGTAAAAGCGAAGTGCGCACAACACTTGCTGTTCCACAGTCATCACAGTCCACGAACGTCGCAGCCTCCTCAACTCAGGCTCCTCGCGCAGTTCGTCGCACAACCAACGGACCACATTCTTGGTGAGACGGTACTGCCTCCGAAAAGATTCCTCCGGTAATTCGAAGGCATCGCGGTGCTGCCGGTAAAGCCTCTCCGGAGAAAAAAAAAGTTCCACGATAGGAAAGCTGTCGCTCTGCCTCCGAGACGCCGTCGACGCCGTGTTTCCCATTGCGAAGAGGCGAAGAGAACGACGACAGACTCGTTCCCTTTTTAGACGAAACACCGAGGAAACGATACGTCAAAATGATGTCACTTCCGGTGATGGCGGTTCGCCGTCTCCGCCCACATTTTCGTAGGGAACTTTCGTCATTCGAGCCTCAACCAATCAGACGCGATGTCGTCACTTCCGTTTCTTTTAGGAGAAACGAAATATTTGTCCAACATAGGTCCCCTGGTACACCTTGTCTTCTTCAACTACACCGCTAAAGTCTCTTACATCGTCGGAACTCACAACAGGCTGGGTATTGTCGAGTAGAAATTCTACTAAAACATAAGACATTGTAGAGCCCGGGCAGGATCGACAGGTTGGAGCAAGCGGGCAAACAAAACGAGTCGAAAGCGATCGTTCATGAAAGCTCGGCGAAGCCTCTATGGGCGAAGCGAAGTCAGCGAAGTGGCGTGTTCGGCGGGCTCCTGATCAAGGTTGTCGGTCGGCTGCGTGTCATATCTCTAACATCAGCGGTTTTATGGGCTCACGTCCCGAAATCGTTTTCTTGTGCATAGATTATTTTTCGTATTCATAGATTTGACGAAATAGTGGTATCTGAACGAACTTTACGTCATTTGACCGTACGTCTGTCTGCACGTCAAAGCTTTTTGACGTACAGTCAGAGACTTTTCGATGTACAGTCAGAATCGCCATAAAGACATCTTGATGGCATTTCGCGGCGGCCGACTGCCACCAGGAAACCATCAGAAAGCCGACAAGTGGAGTCTGACTGGAGTTTGACTGTCGGACAGAGTAACTTGTTGGCCAATCAGACATGCTTGACGTACAGTCAGGCACAGTCAGCGGTCCACTAGAAAACATTGACTGACAAACAGGGTTACATTGATGGGTTTTTCCTTCGGGAAAGAGATATTTATTGAAATATATTTTTAACCATACTTGTCTCCTTTCTACTACAAAAAAACATGTTTCTTATTACGTTAGTGCGTTCCTTAAAATAAAATGTGAACACCAGGTTTCTAAGTTTTTGTTTAACACACCAGTACCTTCAAAAACACTCGCAAATTTAGGACAAAACGTATTTAGTGATTTTGAAGAATATATTCACTTACTAAAATATATTTATTTTATACCTCTTTCTCAAACCTTTTCGAAAAAAAAAATAGTTAATTATTTTAACCACACATTTCATACCTAACCCACCTAACCCAGAAAAAAAATTAAAGTGAACATTTTTGGGATAAGGCACTAACAAAAACTTTGAAATACGAACAACGAAGTACGCGGCTTTAGGTACATGCTGGGCAACGCAGAGGCACTATTGTCGGCGACAGGTTACGAATTCAAGGGAAGCTTTTCTCACCCCTTTCCACTTAAGCAGAACGGAGGGTGCGGAGGAGTTCGCTTTCTCACCAGCGTACTATCTGCTGAAGTGGAAAGACGTGGGAGGAGCTCCCCTTAAAGGGGCCCTGCATTCATATTTAGGCGTCCACCTTTTTTGCGATTTCCACGTCTCATGGGGTTCGGGCAAGCCAGCGGGCATAGAGAGAGCAACTAAATATCACTGCGTCATATTTTAACCGGACGACACCGAAACCTCCTCCACCGACGAGGGCGACCCGCGTTACCGAAAGCGCGCGATATGTGACGTCTTTGGTCCTGGGCTTACTACTGGTCAGAGCCGCTAAGAGCTTCATTTTAGTCGAAATACAAGATATAAGTGGCGCAAACCGTTTCAATTATTTATAAAAGTAGTTTTTGTTCACTATTTTAGATCAGAAAAGAAACGAATGCAGTTTATAAAATACGGAAACAAAATATGACTCGTCGACATACCCGCCACCAAGCGGTGGAAAAGGCGGCGCATACTAGAAAAAAGTAGTGGGATCACGCGCCGACACGGAAAGGTCCCGGATGTACGCGGCGGCGCTGCGGTCGTATCGGCTGGAGGATCCGACTGGCTCCGAGCGTTCCGAAGGCCTTCGGCGAGCAGCTTTGGCTTGCGGTTTGGCCCTTTGGGGCTATGGCAGCGAGAGGTGGCTCCTGTTCTGAACTGATCTTTACCCCGTGTTTGCTCTCGTTTGTGGCCAATGAAGTGTCATGCTGAATTAGAGTTTAATCGCACAGCAAATGCAATGAGAGCCGCTCTGGCTGCCAGCTGCATACAGCCTATCCAGAGCATGCTTTAGTGGCGCCCTCTCGCGCCGCTCAGCTCACTACCCCTATTCCTGTTCACGGCCACTCAAGCAACCAAGGACGTCACGAAGGATGGTATTTTTTGCTTCTATTTGTAATTTTAATTTGCCTATAACTTTTAAAATAAAGCGGAATTCGATAAAAGAAAAGTTTCATTACCTTACTACGTTCAGTGCGATCAGGTCTGGTGCAAATTTAAAAGCAGTAAAAAGTCCTTGCAGGGTCCCTTTAAACTCTTAACTTCAATTGCGGAGTGGAGAGAGGTGCTACGCGGGTGTGCACATCGGAGTGGGCGCGCATCATCGCCAGACCCTTT